GGTGCCCCGGCGCGAGCGTCCGCTCCCGAGCCCTTCGCCTCGGAGACTCTGCTTCTCTTTCTCAAAAGGTACACTGAATCTAACCTGGCAGCTGTTACATGTTCTGACGGAGTGGTTATTCAAGATAAAATGCACAAAAATTGTTCTTTCTGACTTTATTAACAGAGTTAAACTATTTCTGTATGGGACCGTCTGGTGCAGAAACAGTTTAAACAGAACACGTTTGTCTCGTTACTTACTGCCTGTAGCAGCAGATTTTCAAGCTGTGCAGTACTGTAAGTCTGCCGTCTTTGGTGAAGGTCAAAAATAAGTGCCCTCTGCAAGGATTCTTCTGATACTTGACTGCCATATAGCTGAGGGAAGAGAAAAGTGAAACCATCATGCTGAATTTACTGTGGTAGTTGCTTAACTACTCCTGTGGCTATAGCTACATAGATAAGGCTTTTTTTTGTGTGTGTGTGTCTCAGTATAGAATTTACTTGTTACATATTCCCTTAATCTGCTCATGTCTGCTTACCAGTGCTTCTGAAGGTGATTTTATGACAGCCCTAGGCCCACTGTTGGTTTGTTTGGGGTTTTTTTCTTACTAACTTAGATATTGGAAATACTCAAATGCGCAGGTAGTGAATGCGTTATGTATAAGCTGTTTGGTCATCACAGAACTTAATTTCTAAAAGGGTAGTTTTAAGCCTTTGTACATGTCATGGAACAGCAAACAGTAACTTAAGTCCCTGTAGTACAGCTTGACTGATTTTGTTGAAAACCATCCCACAGTTACTTAAGGCTCCAAGTTTTCCTGCAGAGTTAAGACTTTTGCAGATAAGCTGGTAATAGTTCAGGGTCCTGCAAAAGCATGGGCAGTCCTACAGTTACATTCAAGAGCACTCAGGAACGTTTATTAGCTCACAGCACAGAGTGGTGTGGCACTGAAGGCAATGCAGTGTTTGGGTATCTTGAACTTACCCTGGCAGAGCTACGTTATTAAACAACAGCTTTCTGATAAGATCCATGAAACCAGTTATTAAAACCTGGAGACACACTGGTGTACACCGCTGTGAGGGGAGTAGAGAAGACTAAGGATCAAGGTCACTCAGGATCTGCAAACGGAGCAGTAGCAAAGCCAGCCAAAACTTCATTTTGTCTGGAATGAAACACCAACTCAGTAAATAAAGAGACCACGGTTACACTGGGGTTAGTTTTAGATAAAAGCTGTTTGAAAGAACGTGCAAGTTGTAGAAAGGAGGTTACAATTACTGGAAATTTACTGGAGAAAAAAAAGTTTATTTTTAGTTCTCAGCCCATTAAGCTTCAAGCACAGTTCAGAGGGAAGATTATGTACATACTGACTCTAGTTAGAAGGGCTTTGACATTTTACAGGAACACTAATATAGCGAGACTGTCATAGTTGGTAAAATACAAAAGTAGTATTTAAAGAAATTCTATAAGCTAAGCAGGGATGTTTGTTCCAATTCAGTCAAGTGTAGTTATTTCAGACTTGCATAAATCCCATCTGTTGAACATGAGGCAACACGTACTTGAACACAAACTTCTTCAACCAGTCATCTCTTTTGCTTTAACGTACTAGAAATATTCAAGCCAGACATTGCCAGGGATATGACTGCTGGTAAGCAAGCCAGAGCATTGTTAAGATTCTCTCAAAACAACAAGTCACTTACAGTAGTGCATGTGCTATTGAAAAATCCAGATTAAATTTAAACAAAAAAAAGTTTTCAACATATTTAACTCGACCAGCTGGGTAATTTTAAAATTCATAAGACAGTTCCCATAATTGTATAAACAGGGTTTATTGTACATGTGGAGCTGAAGGAGGAAAGAGAAGGAAGGTATATATTATATATATATGTACAGTGAGCCATTTTCATTAATAAATTTATTCTGTCTTGCTTAATACTGGAAAGAGGGAATGTGTCTGGCACCAAAGAAATTTAAAATTGAAAAAATTTAAAAGCTGAACTTCTGAAAACTATAAAAACCATGGTCTTATGGAAGTTAAAACATATATACATGGCAATTTAAGTGGTTTATACAGAGTGACACAGCTGCATTTGTCTTTTAAACCAACTTATGGATTTTCTATTAATAGAACTGGCATTAAAACTATTTAAGAGCTAGAATTTTTTATTTATATTCATAAATAAAACTTGGAGGGACTGCTCCAGGAACAGCCCAGTAAAGCAACTCACAGTAACTCAGTAGACATAATCAATAATACAGTTCCCCTCGAGCATCAGGGAAGTAGGCACTAACTGGGAAATAGTCCAAGTCCTGGTGTTGCAGTTTCGTTGAAGTCCATCTCTTGTCACTGCTATGCCATACGCAATACCTTTTAAAATATACCCCCCGATTTCTCTGAAAGATGTAGAAACCGTTACGTTGTCTTTCTGAATCCCTTTAAAATAGGATAGATGTTCTCAAACGCTTCATAGATTTCTGCTCGTACTTTAGCACCTAAAAAGAGAGGGAATTAAGTTTGTACCTTTCGCCAAATACTTAATTTTAGCTCGTAGAATGTTTATTTGAATGCGACTCTATATAAAAACCTATGCATATCCATAAATCCCTATTTTTATGATTTTTTTTTAAAATACCCATTTCATGTAGAGCATACATTACCAGCCTTCTCACTATTTATTCTGATAACTGGTAAAACTTCCATTAGCATCTTCATGCTTATGCTGTACTTGCAAATGGGATTTTTCTATACATAATTTCTGCAGGAGACCCAACTAAAAAGTACAGCCCTATGGGACGTTTCTGCATAAAGGCCTAACTGGTGGAGCGTTTTTTGAGAGCGTGAACATCTGGGGAGCAAGGTCTGGCAATAGAGACAGCCTGCAGAGGCCCACCCCTTGCCATACTGCTCCTTCTTTTGTCTGAGAGTCTTGTGGACTTTTTTCTCCATAGTAAGGTTCAGCATGAGAGGAAAAGGAGGGGTGTAGGTGAAGTGCCCGAGGTTGAGGAGGTCCTAGAGCTCAGATATCTCCCCTTCTTCGGCTGCTGTATCAAAGGAGAATGGCAGCAGCCTCCAGCCAAGCTGTCAAAGAACAGTTAGCTCAGTCACACACATCCAGCACACAGAAACAGACTTCCAGATTTTGGCAGAAACATCACCTGCGCTCTTACAGCTTTTTGGGCACCTGCATACTTGATTAGGATTCATGATCATTGCTTATATGGATTTAGCCAAACGTGTAGTTTGCTTCATGTATTCTCATCCACAGAATACTGTACTATCTGTTCTTTCTCAGTCCTGTCTTCTCTAACGGAAAGCATCTAGCAAACTACATACCTCTGGCATTGTTGTGTGTTCTCTGTAACACAGTCTAAATCTAACCTACCGGGGTAAGATACTGTCTTCACTTACCAGTTAAAACCACTTTTCCAGAAACAAAAATAAGTAGAACAATTCTGGGCTTGATCATTCTGTAGATTAAGCCAGGAAACAATTCTGGCTCGTAGCTGTAAGAGAAGAGAGTGTTTAAACATGCTTGCAGACACACGTTCCAGTCTTTGATCTGCCGGACTGCAGGAATAGGCAGAGCAGATGTAGACCTCACTGAAATCTGGAAAGTAGCAGGGAAGATCACTTCAATGGGTTCATTTTGGGCAACCTCAGTTACACCCGAGGCAGAGAAGCGATGGGAACAAAGATGCAGATTTCCCTCTGGTGCAAAGGAATAATCTAAACACATGTCACTCTCTAAGCTAGTCAACATGCAGCAAGAATGAAACATAAGCAAGCCTTTTTTTACATGCTGAACTGCTGGTGTGTGAGTACCAGTCCTTCTAATCTGATGGGAAATTTCACATCACAGCTGCCCACCATGTTCTGAATTTTAAAATCCAAAAATTTTGCAGGAAAACCCAGTTTCTGAACAACTCTTGCATACTTCCTTGCTGCCAGTCTGGATTGCTCCTCACTGAAGTGAGAAAAGGATATCCATATTATTTCCTCAGTTAAGTATTACTTGAAGCAAATAGCATTAAACAACAGATAATTAACTGGGGAAAAAAATGTCTGTGTTGAGGGGGAGGGGACGGTCACATGCAAAATATTTACAAACAAAATTAACAACTAGCACTGGTCTGCATGCTAATTTTGGTACTAGGATCCTGAACACCATTAATGTTGTACTCGGTGTTCATGAGGCAGAAAACAGTAAATTATAATTCCATATATTTCACACTCTTAAAATATCGACCCGAGTCCCTCTAATGAGACATGAAAACTGTTACTTAAGTTGTCAGTGTAGAACAACTTTGAACTACTACTGCTAGAAAATGCGTATTTCTATAAAAATCTGTAAACTGCCAAAATCCTCTGCTTGATTCAGCCCAGGCATTCAAACCTGGGTTTAAGGCAACTGCACGGCCTTACATGCTGCTGCAGAACTCAGTTTGCTTCAGTTTTGTAAAAAGCCGAGGATCTGGTTGCTCCTAACAGAGTAAGACAACTTGAACTTCAAACGTCACCAGGCAAAGAAAGCGTTTCCTGTACAGCTCTATTCATTCATCTCTGCTCCTTAGCTTATTCCTTCTGGATTCCTAACAGACTTCTTCAGAGCAGAATTTCTCTTCTGCCCACTGGAGTTAAGCTTATGTTTGCTTTTCAATTCTTATGCTTCAGTGATCATGTTAAGAACAGACCAGACTTACAGGGACCAGTGACTTGGAGCTCTTGGCCTGAGATGAATGAAACTATTCAAATATAAAATCACTCTTCCTCTGCCACTGCCTCTACAGTTTAAGCAGTTTCAGTGCACAGTCATTGAAAATTTTAATTATTAGAAAAAAGATAACTGCAAAGCCAAATAAGTAAATATAATAACCTCTGCAAACCAGTTTATCAGACTGTATGAAAGAGCTTCAGAAACAGAACTACCATTTCCCTTTCCGTAGTCCTTTCAGTCATGAAAGGACATTTTGTGAAGAATCATTAGTCTGTTTGAAATAATTGGGAAGCAAGCTTAGCTGTACCTGTACGACTTCGTTGTATATATACAAATACTGTACACAAATAATAGTACTTCTAAAGCATCGTTGTACAAGAGAAAAGACAGCCTGAATTAGTTTGCTTGTAATGCCTAAACATACCTTTTTGCTCCTGTGCACACCATTTTTCCAGAGCTGAATATAAGTGCAGTAGTACGTGGTTCTCTTATTCTCATAATAACAGCAGCAAAACGCTGAAATAGGAGCATTGGGACTATTAGTGATACATTGCTGTAATTGTTACATTAAAACCAAATTTGCATAATCTAAGTAGCAATTTACACTGTATCGTAAAGAAATACTAAGTTCAAACATACTTATGGATCACTGAAAATTTACTTGAAATGCTTAAATCATAAGTAGCTTCAAACACACACACACTGAGAGGTCGAGTCAGGAAGGATATTTACCATTGCATTCCTATCTCATCTCTAAGCTCATCTCTCATTACTGTATATGCAACATATAAATAATGCTAACATTTGCAACACAGCAATAGAGACAGTCTGAAAAGTAAATAAAAAAATTTCCTCCACATGTCTTGAAATTTGATGTTATAAGCAGGATGGAAGTCTATCTATCTGCAAATATTTTATGATCTTTTGTTTCTGTGTCCGCAGATCGAAGTTCTGTGTAAACAGAAGTCATCTCAACTACCACAGTAGAACACAGCAGCCTGGTTAGCTCTAGCTTTTTATACTAAGTACTGTAACCTCTCTGCCTGCATTTCCAAATATTCTTAAACTCTTTGAAGCAAGAGATAGTGGAAACTGATGTGGGCATACACACACACACACAAACCCCTGTTTGCCCAGTGTATTTAACTTGGACCAGCTCACCGTGCAGTCCCATAAACTGTTCTGCTGACATAACGAAGGCGGTAGCATGGGTTACCTAACAGCACGTTTGTTAAACTGTGGCTTAAATAATACAGCCAAGCAACATCTTTCATTGATAGACGAATGTACTGCCTAAAAGTCTGGAGTGTGTTACATAACCCTTCTTTCTCTCCACTGTGGAAAACAGCATTTTGTATTGATTTTTCTAGCCTACAAATTTTACACAGCCACCTACCCCTACCTTAAGAGTTACCATGGCATGCTCAAATTTTTACTCACATGTAATTATGTAACAGCATCACTGATGCAAACTTACAGTAACAGTTATTTATCACACATGCCTGCATGTGTGCTTTAATCTTTGAGAGCAGAGTTCAGGTCAACTGCAGCAAAATCCCAAATATTAAAACAACAAAAAACCCCACACCCCAGGAAAACTGAAGCCTTCCCAAGGCAAGTCAATTCAACTACACAACATCTATAAACTTGTATTACAAATAGTGTCCAACGACTGTGTTTGCAAAGATAACATTCCCAAGAGGAGCCACCCGAATGAAAAATGAAGCGACATAATTTTCTTGATTCAACGCCCCAGGTCCTCTGCTGTTGTTCAAAGTTTCCCGAGCTAAAAAAAAATCCCACGGTTTAACAAACTTCTATTTAGAAGCAGTGGGCAACTTAGAAGTCAACATGAAAAAAAAATCAAATTTCATTTTGCTGTTCCACCAAACCTCGCCATTGGGAGCAAGGAGATGGCAGGACTATTGGGGGAAAATGTAGGAATGGAGCTCAGAGGGGAAGCAAGAGTGTAAAAACCCAGTGACAGCACTGCGACCACAAGAATTCCAGGGGAGCAGCTGGGTGGAGGAAGCCACAGCGTACACAGAACAACCGTGGCTCTAGCAGGAGCCCAGAAGTTGAATTCTTCCTTCCTTTCTTTTTGTTGGGAGACAGGGAACAAGACTTCATCATCAGACATTTCACAGTAAGATTAAAAAGGAACTTTCTGAGCATTACAAACAAACATGCCCATATGAACAGCAGCAGAGGAGCAGAGGCCACCTCTACAACAAAAAACTTCGCCAGTGTATGACACTGTTGGTTAGGTTCTTCCTAAATGTGCTGTGTTCTTTCTAAATCTACCAAATTACGAGCTGGTGTAAAACACAGCTACATCAGTATGAAAATGCTTCTTGCTAGTTTGACAAGAGTCTTCTAAGTTTATTAAAGATTTAACTACAGTATAAAACTGCATCTATAGTAGGAAGGTTTTTCAATCTATTACAGCAAAGTACACCCACAACCTGTGCCTTTTGCTTATCTGTTCTAGGATGAACTCTAATACATTTCTCTTACCTTGGGATTATATTCAGCATTTCGGGCACGAAGCGCAATAGTTTTTAGGTCAAGTTTGCAACCAAGATTCACCGTGGACACAATATTCCTGAAGATAGTTCAGAGAAATACATTAAAAAGACAACAAAGAATTCATGTGTCTTCCTCATTTTTAACCATGCTTGATTAATTTTATTTGTTTTTTGTGTTTTTCTTTTAAATTTGTTTCTCCAAGTGAGCTTGAGTGACATCTTTCCTACTGACAGGAGCACTGAGCAGTGTTTTGGCTCAGGAACCTCCTTTTGTAGGGCAGTAGCTCCGAAGTAGTCATGATTGCTGGTTCCTCCTTATCTGCCAGCTATTATGAAAAGTGTCTCATGAGAAGACTCAGTTTGGCAGGAAAAATTCTTGATGCTCAGAGCCCCCACCACAATCAGGGAAGCTGCTGGAAACAGGAGAAAATGAGGTAGCAATAGTACCATCTGAAATTTTCCTTGGTATGCCCTTCAAGGAGGAAGAGGAGGCGCAGGACTAAGTGGGAATGACCCAGGAGGTAAACAAATTGCCAGGCAATGGGAAAGCAGGTCTCTAGAAAGTTTAAGAGAAGTTCCTAGATGCAAAATTTCCTTGGACACTTGTTTCCTGGGAAAACCCTGAAATATAAAGGTCCTCAATGGGGAAAAAAAAAAAAAAAAGAAATACGAGGAACTACTCAGTGCAAAATTCGTATTATCAACAATTTCTCTTTGGGCCTTCCATAAATTGCTGTAAAGGTCTCTTTAAAACTAAAGTTCGGTGAAAATACTTTCCTACCTAAGCCTAGAACAAGTTCTAGGTTTTTTTTCCCTTACCACAAACTCAGTTGTAGCCGTGAACTAGAAAAGGGAACATGGAATATTAAGTACAACTCAGCTCTAGCTCCTAGACTAGCAACTAGTTCCTCCCCCTCTACCCTTCTAGTTCCCTACTAAATGAAGACATATATAACATCCTCCACTGGTTATGCTTAAAAAATATATGGTTGACAAATCACTAAGAAACTGTTTATATTACTAAGTGGCTTAGTAATGAAGCTAAGCTAAAAATGAAAGCAAAGATTACTCATATAGCTAGAGGATACCCATAAATTCTCAGGACGTCCCTTTCCACCAAAATGCAGTACCCAATTCCTGATGTGGCTTTGGTCCTAAGTCTTTAAAGGGCTACCTGAGAAAGGGACGTGTTACACGAACACATGGGATACTCACTGTAGCTGTGGCACTATCCCAGAGCTCTCGGACGCTGGTGTTGCAGGAGTTATCGGAGTCATTGGAGTCATTGGAGAGGGGTACAGAGGTGTGGTTCCCGGCAAAGGGGCTGTGGTAAGAGTCTGTGAGTGGAAGAGCTGGGGAGTTTGACCAGATGTTCCCTGTGTCGCTTGCTGTGACGTAGATTGCTGCGCTGCTTGTTGCTGCTGCTGCTGCCGCTGCTGTTCCTCTAGGATGGACAGACTGTTGGTGCTCTGGACAGGCTGTGGTGTCAGTCCTGTGCCATATGGCATCATTGGGCTAAAAATTGGAATTCCTGGAGTCATTGCACCCTACAGAAGAAAGCAACAAACAGAAACCACAGATCCTTGTTGACTCCATTTTATTTTTAAGAGAAAAAGTTTTCAGGAGGAGTCTAAAAATAAATCAGCATAAGTTGGTTGTATCAAACCTGAGGCACATAGTAGTAACTCACTAAAAACAGAAAGCCCTTGGAAATGCAGTTCTTCTATAGAATAATATATTATCTCTAGGGATCTGTCAGTTCTAGCATTGTTCATCTCCAGCCAGTGACACTGATATGCTTCTCACACTACCTTGCAAGCATGTCTCAACTTTGACCCACAGTTTAACTTGCAATTGTTTGAACAAAGACTGTGCTCATCGTACCAAATGCATTCATAGCACAGTGACAGTCCGTTACATATAAGTTAGTTTAAAGGGCAACCACCAAAATTAGATTAATATTTCCAACTTGTCAGTAATGTTTCAACTAAACGAATCCCACATATCTGCATGTTTCTTATACCTCTGGATATACAAATTGATGGTTTTAAAATTCTGCTTTATACTAGTATAATTCTATACCTAACAGAATTTTTCAGATATGGAAACAAAAAACCTGAAGTTACATGCAAGAAATGGAAAACTCTTTCACAAAGAAATTCAGATCACACTTGTATATTAAATAATTTGTTTTTACCTGAGGGGAGGCTAAGCCTTGAGCATAAGGTGGCAAGCTGTTGTTCTGATCCATAATTCCAGTTATTTCTTTGGTGAAGCCAGAAGTATTTCCTTCAATTAATTTAAATTAACTTCAAATCCAAGAGGGTTTTTAACCCTTTAAAACATTCCAGCTTTTTAGGCCAAGCCGAAAGTGTTAGGAAAACATCAGCTCCAGAGAAATGTGCATTATGAGTCTAAAATACTAATCGAAGTCTGAAAAGAGAAAAAGTAGTATCTTGAGAATAATATCTAAACACAAAACCAAAAGCAAACCTATCAGCTGCTGAGTTAGACAAGAGACACCCACATACAAATATATATAAGAACATTCACACACAGGCACACATGCACAATCCATAAAAATAACCTTTTTCAGGCACACTCTATAGAACCTTTGCAGCGTGCTTCTACTGAAGCCCCTGGCAGGTAACCTGACTCACATGAGCAGGCCTTTGTCTAACCTAATCCTCCTGCACAAACAACTCAAGCTGTTAATGCTCATTCTACTCCAAGCTTTGCTTTAGCTGGAAAATCACTAATTTTTTTTTTTTAGAATTGAATTCCACTGACTGCTAATGGACAAGCTTACTGACACATTGCTTGTAAGTCTCTTCCTGGCCATTTTAAGGCTTGGGCTTCAAAAATATTTCTTCTTCTATGGTAAAAGTATCACTGCTCAAATTGGAGCTAGGTAACCCTCTTTCATCCACTTCCATAAAATAAAGTACTAAGACATTTCAAACAACAACATGTGCTTTATGAGAAGAAAGTAACTATGTGAAAGCCAGTTTCAGGTACACAAGTGAAATGTATGCATGGGGTTTTGGTTTTTTTTTTTTAACTGTAACTCTGTTGCTGTGTTACGGCAATAAAGAACACAAGTGGAGAATTTAAACATTACACCTTGATATCAAATATTTTCCATTAAATTATAGCTTTCTTAACTAGATATCTGTTGCCCAGAAATACTCAAGGTCATTTTTAGGCTGGAGGTAGACCTCAAAATCTCAAGAAAGTCTATTCGGCCTTTTTTTTTTTTTAAGGTATGAGAACTCAGAATTACATTAATATCTATACTGCAGCTGAAAAGACATGCTTTTTTTCCCCTTGACCATAAGATAATATTATCTTTACCTTCACCAAAGGTATCAAACAGAGCATCCAGGTTTTACAGCCTGGAGATGGTGGTAAATTAGGAGCCTACAGACTACCCCAGAAGAAACAAAGTCAACTCCTCGGCAGCCCAGCTGTTTAGTAAGAAGTCTAGATACCCCGCACGCCAGAGCCCAGTCAGGACACCACCTACGCAGAGGTCCATCTTGCAACCGCCTAGCCGTGGCTCGCTCGCGTCCGCGCT